TATATATATGTCTAAGATTTAGATGTTCATGACTAGCTATATTTTTAGGGAAAAATTGTTAAAAAATGATATAAATAACAAATCTTTATTCACTTATTTAACATAAATATTTTAGGTATGCGTTTATGCAAAATAGTCATTTTTATATGTTTATATTAGGTGTGGTAACGTCATCACTTTCTTTTCCTTTTTCATAAAAAAAAAAACATTAGTTTTTGTACAGTTCACTCAAACAGTTCCTCTGTGACAAGTTTGTGATTTTTTAAAAGTATAAATATTCCATATAGTTTCGAAATGTATTAATTAATGTATTTATTTAGTGTGTGCTTCTTCGGGCATGTCTAATTCAGCGCATCAGTGATAAGAGTGTAGCGGCGGTACACATCAAAGAAACAATGTATCATGTGTTTGATTGACAGCTGCTCTCACCGGTCTCGATTCGCATCCTGATGAGTTTGAACACAGTCACAAACATTCCAGAGGACAAGCAAACTCATGAAAAGACCTCTAGCTAAAGCCTTCAGCTCCATTCTCACCGGACCAATTTAGTTCTGCCTCAACGTTTTCAGGAGGAAAAATGCCGTTTTCATTAGTCAGAGAGAAAATTATTCTAAATATTAAAAAAGAAAATTAAAAAAAAAGCAACACATGAAGCGAGATCTCGGATGAAGAGCTGGATGAGTCCTCTGGTCTGGTCTCGTATGACAGTCAGCGACCCTCTGACATGAAACATCTGGACTTGTTTTCGGTTGTTTAGCTGGAGGGTTCGAGGTTTTCCTGTCGCCTCCAAACAAAACAAGGCAAAGTTTCGTTCTTTTCCGTCCTCCGCGTCTGAAATGAATGCTGTAAATGTGACGGTCGGAGGAGACTCCAGCTCTCTTCTCTGATGTGTGTTTCTCTGCTCCTCTAACCCCGATCCTCCTCTGCAGCCAACGAATAAAACTTTCAGTTGAACATTCCGGGCTGCTCGAGCACTCTCTTGTGAAAAACACAAAACAGTTTTATTAACACATAATGTCTAATGAGAGTTATACAAACATTATGGAATGCTCAACAGATCATGTGCATTCAGAAACTATAAAATATGGATCATGGTAATATATGAGATCATATAGGCAATAACAATGAAAAAAAAAAAAAATATATATATATGAAGTTATATTCATTTGAACTTATAAATAAGAATCGATACCCTTACATTGGCTGTACCATGGTACAGGGATGGTTTCAGTACAAAGGTACATATCAAAGTACCATAGTATGTACAAAAAATAGTATTCAAAAACAAAGGAGTCAAAAACAAACAAAAATCTGAATTTATATAAACTAACAATCTTTCTATGAAAGAAAAAAAAACCATGGGGGCTTTATCGAAATCATTTGTATTGGTGTTTGTGTGTGTAAGTATGATTTCATAAAGTATGTCACTGACTGCTGTAAAAGACCACTCAGATGACCTTTGTTTCTGATGTCTTATTGGTTAAAATGAGGACACTGTTTCAGCCTCCTAATCTCTACCTGTCTTAATTACAGTGTGCTTCCAAGTCAACTCTATTAGTGTGTGTGTGTGTGTGTGTGCGTGTGTGTGCACGCGAGCACTTCTCTGTCAGGGTTTATTAAAGCATGTAAGGTATACACTAGGACGAGACAAAAATAGGCCAGATTACTACACACGACACAGGCTGTTACACTTTACCATCAGGATTCTGAAAACATTTGTGTGACACACACTCTAAGAAAAGTCCCTAAAAATACGATATTGTTTTTTTTACAGGTGTTTTACCCGTATTTTGAATTACGCATTTCATTGTGTGTTTTAAGAGTTGAAGGAAATATCTGTAAATTTAACCAAATTTTCAGTAATTTTCCACCAGGATGTTATCTGTTTTTCTACTTTTTTTTTTTTTTACAGTGCAGAAACATTAAGAAATTGAACATTAAAGACATTTTTTTTTTTCCAAATTTAATGTATAATAATCTATCATTTCTATCTATCTATCTATCTATCTGGTTTTATAAACTTTCATCAAAGACTCTCATCATGTCTATCAAACTATCAAGTCTAAGACCACTAGAGATTTTTTTTTTTCACATTTATTTCACACTTTGTCATTAAAAATTACATTATAAACAAATTAATTCAAAGTTCAAATTAAAATTATGATGAATTTGACTTCACATTTGATTAGAGATCTAGAAATTGTGCAGAATTAAATATTTATAATAGTTATTTCAACATCAATTATATTCAAAAGTTTCTGTCCATTTCCAGATTTTGAATCCCAGATTTTCAATGTGGTCCCAAACTTTTGAACGCCACTGCATTTGCTTGATTATACAGTATCTGCATATTGGTTATGACACAGTTTTCCTTAAAAGTTACTACTGGCCATCTTAGAATACTGTTATCTGATTGGCCAGGAGTGAAGCAATGCTATTGGTTAGACCCAGCAGGGGTATTTGTCTTGACCTCTTAACTTTGGCTCTGATCCAGTGAGTTTGAACACTAAACCTCAGACTAATCCACCGCTCACTAACTCATCCAAACACTGACATGCGGTGGACTCTCATACACAAGTCACACACATAATCTGTACTCTAACTCTCTTTTACACAGTCACATCCAAAATAAAGAGTTCTGCGGATGATAATAATGTAACTTTGGAGAGAAAATCTGGACACCTGGACCTGAAAAGCAGTTAGATGGGACAGGTAGGTTAACATGCTTTCTTGTCTTTGTCTCAAATACAATAGTGCATAATCAAAATAATAAGAGAACAAACCATGACCAGATTTTGTGAGCTCAAATGGTCCTGAAGTCTATTTTTGGCTTGTCTTCACTTCTGTATAAGAGAGCGAGAGATGCTCCAAACGACTTGTGTAATAGTCTTGAATAACTGGTGGCAAACCGAACAACCAAACAAAACTTTAAAAGATCTGTGTGCATGTTCACACACCTTAGCATGAGTGTTTGTCTTCACATTAACATAATAGTATTATACAATTGTGTGATTATTTTTCAGATATTTTCAGCCTTTAATTAACTTTTAATCCTCTTCTGTTGCTTAAAACAAGTCACGAGGGCTCCAAAATATTCCAATTATAAGCCAAATGCTGAAATATAAGGATGCAAAATCAATTTGTATTGATTTAGTTTGATAGAGCTAAAATAATACTACTGATAATGTGAAATATTAGCAAATGGTTAATATTTTATAAATATAATTCTAATAATTCCAAATAGATTTCAAATAAAAGATGTCACTTGAATGAATATGCATTAAAAAAATTAAAGAAAAATTCTGCATGTTGTGCACAGTACTATTTTTGTATAATTGAGATACTATAGTTTTTATTACTATTTTGAGTCATATTTTATTTTGATATTTTACATTTTCATTTTAATTTTCAAGTTTTAGTAATTTTGTTGTGTATTTTTGTAATTTTTATTTGTAATATTCTGCCAGCTATATTCTGCGGTCAGCCGGCATTCTGTAATTGGTATAAACACAAACACAGAGACAGACCACACACAAAAAACAAACACACACTCATATGCACACACACACACACACACACACACTTGACATGCATGCGTCCACAACTTCAATTGACTTCACGCAGCTAACAACATCATGTGCTAAATATTGAGTACAGTAGGCGAATACAGTTCTGAAAGAATTCTGTTTGAGCAGGGAATTATGGAATTAAGGAATTCCAATCTGTGCGCCACGGAAAATTAAGAACAAATGAGTATCCAGGCAACAATCCAGTCAAGCTAATCTGTCAGAGCTGTGCTGAACATCAAGCTCCTTGTACAGACATGTTGTAATAACTGACAAATTAAATCCTTACCGGATAAATTTGTAATTTACTATCAACTGGACATAGAAAATAAGCCAACATTTTACATTACAGCGAATGTAATTAGAAATATAAAGAAAATGCTATTAAAATAAATGAAATGTGTCTATTTTTGGCAGCTAACGATTGTGACGGTGGGCATGACCTGTTTGCCAAAGTCAAAGAGAACAGCCTGATGGGGACTTTTATTGCCACCCTCAGTTTCACTGCACACCCATCAGCCAATCACATGCGCTTAAAACTTTCTGGAAAAGATGCTGATTGGTTTTATCTGGAGGGAAGAACCATTAGACTGAACTCAACATTAACTAAGATTATTGATAGAGAGGTAACATTAAAACAACTCTTTAGGCTATTACACTATCATCTTCTGTCATGATTTTGTTTCAGTTATTAATATGATTTGTCTATAATGACATTACAGATACACGGCTCAGTTTTAACAGCAACTGTAAGGTGTTATGAACACAAAGTCCTACAGGTAAGTTGAATAACCTGTGACATACAGCAGCATCCTGTTAGAAAACTGGATTTATCTATACAATTTATACTTGTCAATTAAAAGTAATGTTGCTGTCAGGCTGAACACGGGATCATGGTAGAGGTTCTGAATGAGAATGACAACAAACCCGAGTTCCTACAAAGCTCAGTTCATCCTCTGCTGCTCAGTGAGGTAAAACACAGCAGAAACAAAACTCAACATACATTCTCTTTCGTGTGTTGACATACGCTACCATTCAAAACTGTTTTTTTTTTTAAAGATATGAATACTTTTATTCGTCAAGGATGCATTAAATTGATCAAAGGTGAGAGTAAAGGCATTCAAAATATTACCAAAGATTTATTTTTCGAATTAATATTAGAGTGATTTCTTTAGGATCATGTGAAACTGAAGACTGGAGTAGTGATGCTGAAAATTCAGATTTGCATCACAGGAATAAATTACATTTTAAAATATATTCAAATAAAAAAAAACAGTTATTTGAAATTGTAATAATATTTCACAATATTACAGTTTTACTGTACTTTTGATCAAATAAATGCAGCCTTGGTGAGCATAAGAAACTTTCAAAAACATTAAAGTCTTATCGAGTTTTGAGCGGCATATATTTAAAACATTTTCCCATATTTTACTCCATTCCTGAGATCTTCTCCCATCTTCTGCTGTTTGATGTGTTTGTTCAGTTAACAGCGGTAAACTCTGTAGTGTTTACAGTCCAGGCCACAGATGCTGATGGAGACACACTCACATACGTCATTGATGAAACATCAGTAGGTGAACCAAACATCTCACCAGATCTACAAACCCACAGTAGAAACCTTCTGCTAGCCCTACTGGAGCCTCATTTGTCTTAAAGGGATAGTTCACCAAAAAATAATTCTGTCATCATTTACTCACCCTGAATTTGTTCCAAACCTGTTTGAGTTTCTTTCTTCTGTTGAACACAAAAGAAGATATTTTGAAGAATGTTGGGTACCAAACAGTTGACGGTAGCCATTGACTTCCATACTATTGAAAAAAAAAATATTATGGAAGTCAATAGCTACTGTTATGTTCAAAAGAAAAAAGAAATTCATACAGGTTTGGAACAACTTGAGGACGAGTAAATGATGACAGAATTATCATTTTTTGGTGAACTATTTATTCATTTAAGTTTTTCTTATGGTAATAAATCAAATAGGCTTGATAATCTGTGGACATGTGTTTGTATATTTCCAGCATGATGCCAGGTATTTCCGAGTGGACTTACCCAACAGTGGCAAAGTGATTCTCAACAAGCCATTGGACTACGAGATCAAAACTCAGCTCCGACTGACTCTTTATGCAGTGGTAAAACACATACAGAAAATACTTATTTGGTAAAAATATGAGAAAAAAATTAACTGTTAATGTAAATGTTTATGTGGCTTTAGGAGACAAACACAGATGAGCACTACAACACAACTGCAACAATAATCATCAATGTGACAGATGGGGACGACCAATACCCACAGTTCCAGCCTTGTACTCTTCTCTCAGCCAATCACAACAACCGCATATGTGCCAATTCTCTGTACACTGCCAACATCACAGAGAATGAGCAGGTAAACCCTGTGAAAAAAATGAATTTAAAAGAACTGTTTTCTATTTGAATATGTTTTAAAATGTATTTTATTCCTGTGATGCAAAGCTGAATTTTCAGCGTCATTACTCCAGTCTTCAGTGTCACATGATCCTTCAGAAATCATTCTAATATGCTGATTTGAAGCTCAAGAAACACTTTGTTGTTATTATCAATGTTGAAAACAGTTGTGCTGCTTAATATTTTGATGGAAACAGTGATCATTTCTTTCAGGATTCTTTAATGAATATAAAGTTCAAATGAACAACATTTACTGGAATTAGAAATCTTTTTTAGTATTATAAAAATCTTTACTGTCACTTTTGATCAATTTAATACATGCCTTAAATGCATGCCAATTTCCTTAAAAAAACTTACTGACCCATGGAATGTACATGTATCTGATTCCTTCTTATTGTCTGTCTATTTTTCACTCAGGACATTGTCTTGGATTTCTGTCCGGGTCCGATTCAAGCGGTGGGTGGTGATGAGGGTCTCAGAATGCCAGTAAAGTACACCATCCTGTCAGGTGGTCCTCCTTCCTCTGCCATTGAACCTTATGCAAACTCATGGAATAAGAAACTCATTTTGATTCTATATGTGTGTCTGCTGTAACACAGGGGCAGATAATGGCAGATTCATCATTGACAGTAATTCTGGAGAGGTGAGGTTAACCAGACGTGTGGAGAACAGACTGCTGATCCCGACACTGAGACTGCGTGTTGTGGTGCGTTTGAGAGTGAGGAACAAAAATGTAAAACAACAACAACAACAACAAAAATTCAAATAAATTTTAAAAAGTAAAAGAAAAAAAGAAAATAATTTAATATTAAACTTATTATGTAAATATTATTCTAATATATAAAAAATAAATAAGATAACATTTCTCCAAAAAAAAAGAAATGCTGTTTTCTTTTTGAAAGCATTGTAATGTTTCTGCTCAGGCAGCTCAGACGGATGACCCTCTGAAGTATGCAGTAGCTACGGTTCTGGTGAGGGTCCTAGCAGAAAACAGGTTTCCACCACAGTTTAACCGTTCAACATACCGAGGCTTTGTCAGCGCGAGCACAAGTCCTGCCTCACTCATCATGACATACGGCAACAAATTACTTATCCTGGAGGCCACGGATCAAGACTTCACTGACGTATGTGACTCAACAAGATCACAACATTACAAAACCACATACAATCCGTACAACCACACAACAGTAGCACCCCAGTGTCAACATCACAAAGACACTGCTTTGACATTCACAGCATGAGTTATGTCTCTGTTCAACCCTGAGAAACGGAGTTTGTTTTATGTTTGTGTGTTAAAGGGCTTCAATCCCAGACTGCAGTATTCTCTAAACTCCCAACACAACAGTTCTCGGCTCTTTTACATTACACAAGAAGGACTGCTTATCGCTAAAACCAGCTGGCTACACCCCGGCTACAAATATTTCCTAGAGGTATGACATGTAGACTACATAAATACACTTAAAGAATATTTTTCAAAGTTGTAAATAAAACAAGAAAATATTGCAATGTGTTTTACAAGAAAAAAGGATATTATTTCAGTCTTTCTACTTCAAAATGTTGACGTTTAATTCAGTGGGTTACTTGCTGTTTCTTTGTAATTATCGGTGAAATTCACTTGCAATTTCTGAGTGAAAACTGTTTCACCACCAAATTTTGTTATGGGCAAAATCTGAACAATATTCTACTACTATTTACTTTATACAATATCTGAAATAAGACGACTGAGGACTGTGTTGCAGGTTCTAGCCACTGACCTGGAATCAGGAGACATTGTTAAAGCTTCATTGCATGTGGAAGTTCTTCAGAAAGGCCATCCAGGTACTAGAAAATCTTCAGGCTCTCTGGATTATATCTTAATTAGGAATATACAAATAAATAAAATATATATTTTTAATATACATAAAATGTGTGCAACAGTCTAGAGATGAGTGCTGCTGTTTGTCTGTGCAAAGCTTGCCACAACATACACTACCGATTAAGATTTTCTTAAACTTTTGACCGGTAGTGTATAATAATCAATTATAACAATAAACAATACATGACTAAACATAAAATAAATAATAAATGTATGTATAATTGAAGTTCCACAGGGTCCTTTGGGGTCGGGGCATGTGTATAGCGGTGAGACAGTGGGCAGGGCAGAGGGCGTGGCAGGGGTGTGTCTGATCCTGCTGGCCATTACCTTATTTACACTGGTGTGGTGCATTCGGCTGATCAGAGAGAAGCGGGATCATGTCATTTGGACCAACGTGGCTGACAGCAGACACACTAACGTCGTAAGACACAATATATTCATGAAACCTGCAAAAAGGACGTGTTAAACTCTGCATATGTGCTGAAAATATCCATATGTTCCAAACGAATTTCATCCAAAACATAAGAAACAGAACAGTTGCAACAACTTCAGTTTTGAACTTTCTAAACTATTGTTTAAAAATTTGGGGTGTGAAGATTTTTTTATGTTTCTGTCAAAAATACAGTAAAAACAGTAATATTGTGAAATATTATTACAATTTTAATTTACTGTTTCCAATTTGAATATATTTTAAAATGTAACTTATTCCTGTAATGTAAAGCTGAATTTTCAGCATCATTACTCCAGTCTTCAGTGCCACATGATCTTTCAGAAATCACTCTGATATGCTCAATATGACGATATGATGCTGATATGATGCTCAAAGAAATATTTATTATTATTATTAATGTTGAAAATAGTTGTGCTGCTTAATATTTTATTGGAAGCTCAAAAGACCAGCAATTATTTACAATTTTTTTTAAATGTATAGTTTGGGAAAATGAATGATTTCTGAAGGATCATGTAACACTGAAGACTGGAGTAATAATGCTGAAATTTCAGCACTGCATCACAGGAAGAAATTACATTTTAAAATATATTCAAATAGAAAATAGTAATATAATTTAGTAACAATTTATAATTATTTGAAATGCGTTTAGTCAATTTTGACACTTAAAAAAATTGACTTCTTTCTGCTCGTTCTCTTTTGATAGCTTGTATAAAAATACACAAAAACCAAAAATAATATTTTAAGAATTTGTAACTATTTAAAAACAAGTCTCAAAATAAATCTTTTTGCATTTTCAAATATTTCATGTCTAGTGTCTGAGATGGTTCCGGATGGTGAGTTAATGTTACTCCATTCCCCCTTAGTGAACCTCATTGTATTTTAATTTCCTAAAAAGTGGAAATAGAATTTCCATTTAGAAATTATCTATTGAAGCAGTTCTATATGAGTTATGAGTATCCCAGACCTAACCTAACTTTGAAAGTGCACTTTCAAGACAGCAGTGGTCTTGGACTTTATAGACTTTCCAGTGTACATGCAGCATCTCTCTCACACACACACACACACACACACACACACCCACACACACACAC